ACAATTAAAAGAAATCACACTACAAGTGATGATTAATTTATATCAACGTTGCATACTAGTTCGCCTAGATTGATGGCGTAAGAATCCGTGCACATTTGCAGTTCCTGTTATAAGTTCATTAAACAATAATTTTTGATATAATAATTTAGATCGATATTAGTTGAAAAAAATGCAAGAATATATCATTTAAGTAATATATACCTGTTTCAATTTACGATTTTGATCATTATATGTCTGCTTCATTTCAGAGGTCTTTGCATCGAAACATCTCTGAAGAGCTGCAGTTTCGGATGCATATTGTGCCTTCAGCTGCAAGTTACAAAAAGAAATGAAAATAAAGATGAGTACAAAATCATCCTGTAATCATAATTGGGTTAGTAATTAACTGTCAATCATTCCTATACTATATATATATTTAATTTCTGAAATATAAAATGAAGGACTAAATAAATTGGTATTTATAATAAAATATGAAGGTAGCCTATTACCGCTGCTATTTGTTGTTCGTTGTGATTTGTTAAAGAATCAACTGTTGTTCTAGGATAGGAAAATTCAATACATTTTAGAACGGCACCACCGAAAAATATTTGTTTTACTTCAATATAAAATTAGTACATACGATGCCTGTAGTAAAAGTGCCTCTCTTTCTCTCAATTCTAATTGAAGATTTTCTATTTCCGCTACTAAGGTAGTATTCTATATGTAAATTATGATAACTCAAATTGAGAAGATGTATGGATTCTTCATGATAAAAGAAAATATACCCATGAAATATAATATTAACTGATTGAAATGATAGATCCAATGACAAAATTTGAATAAATTTTACAATCGATTTAACATACCATTTCAATGAGCTCAGCTGTACCAGTAGAGTCATCAACCGATTTTATTTTGAGCAAGTTTAGTTGTTCTGCTTTGTAAAGGCGCTGCTTTAAGTTAAAATTTTCTCTCTCCATTTGAGAAAATTTCTATAATCGATAATAAGCAATATTACATTTGTCGGTGTCATCTTACGTCATGTTGAAGTGCGATTTAATATTTTATTATTACGATATTTCATCATCTAGTTGTACTCTATTTTAGCTTACATGAGTATGCTCTTTCACAAAATATGGAAGTTTAGTGATTAAGCCACCGGTTACTTTAAAAGAAAAAATTGATGTTTGCATTAGATTTGTTCTATAAAACATCTATCAAATAATTAATCATAATTTCAAACTCTATGCAAGTAAATGGAGATTGACCTTGTAACTAGAGATTGAATTCTACTAGTTAGTACAGTCCATAAGATAAGGCTAGTATACTTGTATACAGAAAGGTCTTATTTTAGCTCTCGATCAATTTCTAGTTAACAACTCAAGTATAATGGATTTCTTATTACGATATCTAGGCATGCCTTAAGACTGACCTGAATCATTCAAGACACTTTCATTATTTTCAATGTTGGAATTATACGATGCTGCGATTGGATATTTCCTGGCAAAATTTTGGCTTTCGGTTCCAAAACAGATAGAAAATTAGATCAATTTTGTTCAAATGCACAGCGGTAACTAAGAGTATTCTACAGTGTGAATTCTTTCTAATGAGTGATTTTAACATTTCATTTATAACTCATAAATACACGTAGGCTGAGCATGTTGTGTGTTGTCAATACGCGTTGTCTTCCAATACTGTCGTACTACATCATAGCATATTATGACAGATGAATATAATTTAATTTAATTTCAATTATTTAATATCTATCATTAATTAGAATAAAAAAGGTAAAAATGATGGCAAATGATGGCTTTGACATATTCTTTTATCTTTACTTAGGCTTGTAAGGTATTCTACTGTAATTACTCTAGTGACGTATTTTAAAAATGTCAACACTAGGTTTATCAACAGATTCAAATAACGAACGCCAATCATCATTAATAACTATAGACATTATTGCTAATTATTAAATTTGTTTGGCAGTTAAATATTAACGTCTTCACTCCTTGATCATTTCATTTGTAGCATAATGGATTCGATTTAAAATTCCTAAAGAGGAACTAGTCAGTCGAGTTTGATCACTTGTCACCATATCTGACTGGACATGAATAAATAAATGGTTGAGTATGTCCGCGTCAACAAGTTGATTCTCGTTGATCGATAGCATGGATAATATATATCGATGGAAAGTTGTCATTTCAAACATGTATGATAACCTATTCTAGTATTCTGATATGATATAAATATCCATGATGTCGTCCATTATTATCCTTTGCACTGTACTCATTATTGGGTGACGAATTGCAAATAGTCCTAGCTACAAGATAATTTCTAATTCATTCTCACCATTTTCAGGTTGAAATTTATAACCTGGAAAGATTACTGTAGTTATTGATGTACTTGGCCAATACTATTATCGATAAGTACTTTCTAGGCTTGCATAATGCTTGTCTACATTGATAATAAGCTATCTGGCTGGACTTGATCCTTTAATGTAAATTTCATGCAAATCATTCCTAACCATGGATATCAATTGTATTTTATTTATTTATACGATGATGATTGACTGCTATCGCTCGTAAGAGAACGATCGATAGTGTCTAGAAAAAGATGATCAACGACTAGAGTGATATCGATCGATATCCAACAAGTAGAAATAGTGCAGATCGATTGCAAATTGCACGATGTAAGTCAATTGATGATCGCTTACCTAGCATCGAATTCAGTACTATCATCGAGGTATTTGGATGATTCCATAATTGATCTATAATTGCAATTTTAAAAATAATCTTGAGTCAATGTACTTGAACCACTTTGACAGTATTATCGACGCAAGTTGATTGATGATGGCAATCGCTTGAATATAATCTTCCAATCTAAATACTAGATCAAGCAGCACTAGCTACTCTCGATCCAGCTCAAAAACATCTAGGTAATAGACTGTCTGTTGTAGGTCTTTTCCCACAAGTAATAATGGACGCTTTGCAAGGAATTGGCTTTGCTCCTTTTTCCAACCTGAGATAGAATTAATTAATTAATTAATTACGCTGAAAGGACAAGCGATCTAGTCCAGGATACTACTCCTAATCCCCGATAGACGACGAAGATCAGTATACCAATTGGATAATGATGGCGGCCAGCGACTTCATTGACTGCTAAAAGTAAACAGTAAACGACGTCTCAAAGCGTAGTAAATACGCGCTACTACCCCACTTGATGGCACGGATATTACTTCACTTTGACTGGACTCCAACACCTGTTTCAGTCCTACTCTTCTTTTTGTAACGGTCACAAACGAGACCAGATGGACTGGCCAAAATTTGATTTTTGACTTTTTAACGGTTTTATCCTTGTACCAACTTGGCGACTACGCTGGGCAGTCTAATGACACTGTCCACAAGCACTGTACGCGTACCCAACTTGACTTGACAGTATGGTCATCCAGTACTGACTGGGAATGTCCATAAGGCGTCCGTCTGTAAGGCGACGATGGGTTATAGCGGTGCTCTACGGCGGACTCGACGAGATCAGCTAACGATCGAGAAATAGTCGCTGAAAGGCGATATCATTGATTTTGAATGGGAAATTGCACCTTTTTAGTACATAAGGCGACGATGGGTTGGAGCAGTGCTCTGCCGGACTCGACGAGTGCTGACTAGTACTCTACTGCTCATACTGCACAACTGCAGAATGGATCAACTAGATCAGCTAACGATCGAGAAATAGTCGCTGAAAGGCGATATCATTGATTTTGAATGGGAAATTGCACCTTTTTAGTACATAAGGCGACGATGGGTTGGAGCAGTGCTCTGCCGGACTCGACGAGTGCTGACTAGTACTCTACTGCTCATACTGCACAACTGCAGAATGGATCTACTAGATTAGCTAACGATCGAGAAATAGTCGCTGAAAGGCGATATCATTGATTTTGAATCGGTTTCAAGCATTCCAAATTTGCAAATTACACCTTTTTAGTACATCACTACCGATACAATGAGCGATGCGATACTCGTATACGGTCGATAGACATATTTTCTACTATTACACGACGCTAATTTACCATACAATTTGTTATCGTCATCAATTCTAGTAACCATAGACGAATAGCAACACTATACGCGCGTATATACAGCATGGACCGATGTGCTTCTCCTAGAGTTTCATGAAAACAATCTATAATCATGTTCTTCTGCTGTTGTATCATGTACAACTAGAAACGTGACATTGAAAAGCAATAATAGCGTCTTTATTTGCTGAAAAATAACTATAAATACGGACGGTAAACATCCATCGGAGGCTTCACTGATAATAATTTATTAAATATATATATATATATAACCGATGCAGTACTCAACCTGCTGTACTGTACAGCTAGATACATTATTATGATTACCATCAATCATGAAAGCTTCCTTAAAATACACCATATACACTTGTACAGTATTGTACATTCCTAATTATAATAAGAATCACTTATAATTCATAATTTATAGATCATTAACATGCACACACAGTAATTATGTAATACCAGCATAATCAAAATAGATAACGTAATAGTGCAGTTCAATTCCTATTACGTACTAGTAATTATACAAATATTACATACATACAGTACAATCATCTGCTTGTGAATACCAATATACATCATAATAATGGCAGCATTACATGCTTCCAAGAATAAATCCATTGAATGGGGAATTAAATGAGTGAAATATTGCATTATTGTAATACAACATAGTGTCGACTAGCCATTGGAGATAATACATCAGTATAGTTCACAAATCAGGATATTTTCAAAGATTTACACGACCAGATTTATTATTATCTAATCATTGGGGATAAAATATCACTGTATTGAAAAAAAATTGATTGATCCTAATTTACAGAACCGAATAAATACAAGCAACGATACCAATTTTTACCTTCATAATAAGACAGTATAGATATACTTATATATGTCAGTATATAAAATATGATTTGCAGGTTGCACAAGCACTATGATAATATGCGTATTCTTCTTATTAAAAAGTTCTTCTTGGATTCCCAACTTTAGGTCGAATCTTATCATAAAAGAACTTTTGCTGCACCACTTTTCTACCTATTGTTTTATCATTTAATTTTTTCCCTTTAACAAGAGTCGATTCTTTAATTCGTTGAAATATAGCTAATGCAAACTCATAGAATTCATTCTCCATTTTCCAAATTTTACTTTTTTGCATTGCATTTATAGTAGCTTCAGATGGAGGCAATTTGTATTTCGTTTTTCTCGCATGAGATTTACTGACTGGAAACAATAAGCCATCGTTACAAAAATAATAATTCAATACGTCATATACCTAACATGGTGACCATTTTAAAACAGCAGCATAACCAATTGAAGCACTTACATGTTAGAAACCTGTTTGTTGCGCCCTTAAATAATTTGGGAAGGGTAGCTTCAAGTACATTGATGAAACCAGTAAGGTCCTCAGTTACACCTACTAGTAGATACTTGTGGAACAAATTATGTTTGGCTTGTTGCAGAGCCCACTCATTGCCAGGAATCCTAATATGAATATTTATCGACGTGATCAATAAAATCAATACTAAGTAATAGGATCTTAACGAAGCCATTTACCAGCATTGCGTATGATGACCACAAAAAAAAGGAATCTGAAGCCAAAGTTTTTCAGGACGACAATCAGGTAGATTTTTTGCTACACACTCATCAAACGTCTGCATATTTATAAGATTTGCATGTCTAGTATCAATTATACTATATATTGAATCACGATATTTATAGCAGTATCTTTTGGGCATACAGTAGTAATGCTTACTATTTTATCGCCCATCTTTCGCCGATGTAGATGTGGCCTAAAATCATCTCCATAACGAAGAAAATAATAAAACGAAACTAATCTATCCAGTGGTTTTCTTAACACATTAATATATATAGGCCGGTTGAATGCACCATACCTAGGATAAAATAGGAAAGCATACGACATTAGCTATCATAGAAAACATGTTTTATCATTAAAAAAAAAGTATTAACTAATAAACGGTTTATCTAGCAAATTTAAAATGCAGCTCTTCGTCTAAGATGAAGAAAATATCAAATCAAATCAAGGGTTTACTTTTCAAAATCGAGATAAGCTAAATGACCATGGAAAATAGCAGGCTGCATTTTGCTCCAGCTTGTTATATTCCTTATAAAACGTCCCTAAAGATGACATCGTCAATTACTGTAAGTTACCTATCTTCATTTTCCAATATTAGCCAACAATATTCACACAAGCCATATATTTTAAATAAAAATTACAAGTACTTTAATAATGCTATCAATAGTACGCATGTTCTATGTGATTGCACAATAGCTGGACTCATTGTCAAATACGCCATTAATTGCGAAGCGAATTAAATGATGAGCCATTAATGGTATTTAGTAAATGCTTAGCCAATATCTATAACAAATGCCAATAACTCGGTGAAATTGGCCGCAAGTGTCTGATACAAGTTCCGGCAAAGCATCACATGAATTGAATTTTATCCGTATAATATTGACAATTAAAATTTAATTTAATTTTCTACAGTCTGACCTGATCTGCAACATGCATTACATGAGAATTCTTGCTAACATTAAGGTGTAGCACGCGAAACTTATTAATTTTACAGAGATCGTAGAATAATGCCATTACGGATGTACTTCCAGTTTTTGGTACGCGATTATATATGATAACAGTCTTCCTCTATAATGTTAACAAAGGCAATCAAATATTATTACTATAACATAAATAGAGTAACGTTTAAGGAACAAATGTTACAGAGCCATGAGTCAATAAGGCGCTATTGACCGCATAATAGGACGCATTACGAAACTAAAATTCAGGGGGCTATCTTAAATCGTTGGGGTATTGTAATTGCTGTACGCTTTAGAATGTAAATTTCGATATTACTTTATCGGATAAAACTTGTAATTTCTGCAAGGTTAAAACTCCTGAAGCCGAAATATACCAACCGAGTGGCTGATATATCAGAATTCAGAAGGCTATATAGTATGTTTGAATACACACTTTATGTAATGTAAAATTTTTGATTAAATTAAATCTAAATTTCTCCATCACAGCTCTCGTATATAACTAAAACTAGTACTTGGCAATACACGCGAAGATTAGATATGCTAAGATTACTATACGAAATTATATACCTTTACAGGATTGTCTTTCGCTACTTTAATCTTTCCTTTAAAGATTCCTAGAAATTATAAGCAAATCAGAGTATTATTCACTGTCAGTAAACTGCAAGACAGTAGATTCCAATCCTCAGTACAGTAGCACTTCCAGCGTAACATTTCATGAGTACTGTCTAGTGCTAGTGCTAGTGCATTTCATGAGTACTGTACTGTCTAATGTCTAGTGTATGTTCTTTCGATTTATAAAGTAGGACAATTGACGTTCAATTAATGTAGTACGGGTATATTATAAAGCGTACTTTGACTAATTATTTAATCGCATATTTATCCATTGAGGATAGCTGAAGTAAATATGCACTTAATTTTCCAGTATCATTGCAATCCGTTGTTATCAATGCTAACCCTAACACTACAGTGTACCGTAGTGCAGATTAGAAATAAGTCAATTGTGCCTGTCGATGTTACATTAAAATTGAAATGATGATTATTACTACCATTGAAAAATTAATCAGATTCATTATTGTAAATCAAATCATCTTGCTAGGGATTTGTTAATACTGTATTATCCATTTCAGGTATATTATTAAGACCATATAGCCCAAACTTGCATTACAGTATTGTTCACTGGATAGTCTACAGTCCTGCATTTTGACCGTTGCATGTACGCGTACGTTGATAAGCCGTTCAAAATGACTGTGAAGTTTCATAAAATTACAGTACTGTAATACCATTTGCAAAACTTGCTGTCAAAAATTGTAATATTCTATTTGTAGTGGTAGAAAATAGACCAAATGCAGTACAATATACGAAAGTCTATTTCTTACTTGTACTGATTCATTTAATTTATCCATGTTGTACTGTAATATCAATATCTTGTAGATTCATATTATATACGATGCAATAGTGGTTTTCAAACAAAGAAACTGAAATTGATATATATATATATATGTATGTCGAAATATTACTGTTGATTGCTTCATCATGTTCAGTCAGAGTGGTCTTTAAGTTCTGGATCTGGATCTGCTGGGTAAGCAGTAAGACAATCATGAAGAAGCACAAAACAACCACAGGTGCTCTACTATTCATTTTCTTGATTCCACGTTGCTGCTGCTTGACTAATAGGCAGTACCGCACTGATTGCAAGCTGAAGAGGAATTAGACTTGCCAACCCCAAATCTCAACTCGATCGATCATCCGTTTCTCTCTCTCCAACAACTTTAAATATTATTATTCACTGGATTTACTTGAACAAGGGCTATCAGCATGGAATCATAACATGCGTTCATTCCAATCTATTGACTGTATATATATCGTATGTCGGGATTGCTTTTGATTACGACTATCGGTACTTTATTCTGCCGCTGTTTTCTTTTTGCATTTAAAAATTGACGAGTACAGATGGACAGGACAGTATAATAGGTTATACAGTACAGTATAATGCAATGCGAGCATCCACAGTACAGTACAGTACTGTACTGTACTGTACTGTACAGTAGTCTGCAGAATACTGTAGAATCTGTCTCTGGCAGTCAGTCTAACTTTCTTTTTTAGAGGACATTTGAGTGAGTACAGTACTGTACTGTACACGGTAACATTGCACATGCGTACTACTGGACTGTCGCTCAACGATGAACACCATCGTGGAGTGCTAGATTCTTGCTTTTTTTTTCCAAACACCGTTTTTTAAAATGACAAAAAATGGATTGTTGCTTCGCCAACGGAGGGATCGTAGTTAAAACCTATCCAATTCGATTCGTTCGTTCATTCCGCCTTTCAGTCTCGAGAAATCGATAATAACGCGATAGGCACATTTAGCAAGCGTTTGATTGGATGAAATAATCTTGCGTCATTACGTCAAGTCCCTTTTTTTTTTAGCTGTCCATCATGACGTAATGTACTGTAGTTTACATCATACAGTACAGTACAGTAAATTACGCGTTCTGTGCCAGCCAGTCATTCCGTACTATTAATAGTGTGCACAGTGGACAGCATACTGTAATAACAAACACCTATCAAAGCGATACACGTCTACAAAAAGTGGATGAAGAAAATGGACGCCAATGATGGCATGCAAATTTATAAATAGAAAAGAAAAATGGATCTTAATTCCACGTACTTATAAGTTTACTTGTCTTAACCATGGATATTATCCAGTAATTTGGGGGATTACAATCGAGTTCGAATAAGGTCGTAACAGTTTCAGCTTGGGTACTTTGTCAAAGATTGCTTTTGTCTTCACCAATTTCTACAATTCTTACTGTTGATGAAAGTTTGTTTTGAATTGGAGGAACATGGAGATTGAATTAATCGATGTCCTATGCGATATCTGTGGTATAATCACTACAGCAGTTGTTTCAGTAGGTCGTCTCCTAATGGATTTATTCTTGAATGGACTACCGTTATGCATACAAATGTGTAGCGTTGTTATTACATTGGTGTGTTATTTAATGCAGCAAATGCCTATGATAGTAGCATTGATAGCAGATAATACCTTTAATATTTGCAGTGCACTTCTCAACATATTAGCTAATGGATCAGCATCAATGTTAAGATGTGTCAATGTTGACAATGTGTATGAATTGATGGTGGATACTTCACTAACAATAACAGACCCGCTGCATTGTATCATTGCAACGGGATCTAGTGCCTTAGCAAGCTTATCAAGTTTGTTGTTGACTTCGCTTGACTATACCGTCTCTATTCTACTGACATGTCAGAAGTTTATTGCCTTGCTGTTTTGTGGAATTATTTTTTATGTCCTCAATACTATTTACTCCTGGCTATGGAACCTATTGTACTTATTAATTGTTTGCATGATTATTATTCTATGTGTAAAAATTACTATCAAATTGCTAAAAATGAATGCTGGAAGGATAATAAGAAGTATTCTTCAACCATGTTTCAACGCATTCTATCAACGTATTTCATCATCATGCGCTACAGAAAGTTTCCGTTTTCAAAATGGCCCAACCGAAGATCGAAACCAAGTGCAAACATGTGACGCTTCCGCTATAATCACATTAATAAAAATGAACTCTAGAAGGCTTATAAAAAGCATTCTTCTTAAATGTTTCATGGCATTCCGAAATAATTTATCTTTATCAGCTGCAGAACGCTTCCATTTCCAACATGGGCCAACCGAGAATCGAAATCAATTACAAAGAAATAATTCTTCCGCTAGAATCAATAATACGATGAATCAATCTACAACTTCACAGCTACAAGCTAACCATGAGACAACAAATAATTCTATAAGAGATGCACAGAGGCTATTGGATTGTACCCAATCTGATGATGAAACAAACGTCAATAAATTACTTGAAGAGTTGGAAAACGAAAAGGATAAAAATCGATGTTGCATATGTCAAGATTCCGCTAGAAATGTTATTCTTATGCCTTGCCGGCATTTCTGTGTTTGTGGTGATTGCTGGGATGACGTGGTCAGATTGAATAGACGCAACGCAAGGTGTCCCCTCTGTCGAGAGATAGTAACAAATAGCATGAAAATTTTTACTTGATTATTACTTTTAATGTCAATAGGAAAAAAAGGAGAAACAATACTAGATAGTATTAGAAGTGAACGCTTATCAATAATTTATCATAAATGAAAGGTAATGTTTTACCATCGTGCTATTTTTCAAACAGATAATACGATTATCAAAATCGTTTAGGCTCACACCTAGACATAGCAAATGTTAGTTTAAAGTTTTTCTCACCCAATTCAACCGAAATAGTGCTGTCTAGATACTCTCTCAAGTTACGTAATGGCACCAACGAACGAACACTATTAATATCTAGTATTTAAATGATCATGTAATAAATTTACGGTAGACATACATTGCACGATTATAGTTTTGATATCGATCTGGTAATTTAATTATTTTACATGCGTGTATTTATTTCACTAATCGTAGTTTACAGATTCATCGGTAATATCCGAGTAAATTATTGGTAAAGTATTCGTTCTTGTATTTAACTCTGTATCAATGACGTACAGTACTATCCGTTTGATGGCATTAATAATCTAAAACGATGCCCGTGTACAGTGAATTCTAGCTGTACTTGGATATCAATTTGTAACATACTTGTATATGACGCGCTGCAATTACTTATGCATATGTAAAATTGTATATACATATTATCCTAATCAACGTACTGTGGATGTATTTTTTTTTCATTCTAACTGGATTATATTATATATCACATTAAAGTAAATTAATATTCATATTGCTCTCGGCTATATCAATTAACAAACAAAATCTTAGACTTTAATCTTTCTTTTGCAGATTTGCACGTCAATGATGTTACTTAAAATTATATAAGATAGGTATCTGAAATAACGAAGTATGATATATACGTGTGTAGGAAAGATTAACAACTCAGCTCGTTTATTAACTACTTTTCGGGCAACATTTAAGACATCAACCGTGTCGATCTCCCAATGATACGAGCATAGTAGCAAAATGATAAATTAAGAGCACTCTACTAGTTCTAGATAAAGCTTTACTGTCGCTCCCTCTATCAGGCTGCAAGCGTATATCCTAGTAG